CTGGGAAGAATACTGGTGAAGAACATACCAAATGTGTGGAGTTCGTAACCAATCTGGCTGTGGATCCCACGATGAACTAGATGCTGCTACCACCAACACCCTGACTGATCAACCAGCAGGTCAGGTCTTGGACTGGGCCTCGACTTTCCCAAAATCCTCTTACTCATCTTTTTCTCGCCTCTTCAACCTCATCTTTCCTTCCTTTAAATCCTTACCTTTAACCCCCTTACTTTATCCTCTTCCTTCAACCTCCTCCTCCTCCTCCTCCTCCATTATCGCTAAATCTCGCCCGGTAAAAAGAGGCTAATGGCCGTGATTACTTTAATGGCCTGATAACCGAAACTCCTACCACGGGACCATTATTTCCAGTGTATCCCTTGAAACATGTTATACCTCTGTTACTGCCTTCATTCTCGAGTTATACCTCTGTTACTCCATTATAGCGTTAAACATCTGTTCCTGCATACAGGAATGAAGGCAGGAACAGAGATATAACTGGAGAAAGAAGGCAGGAACAGAGGTATAAGTCTGAAGTTATAGGGAGGTCCCATAGAGGTGTAAACCTCGTCATTAATATAATCCCATTTCTGGCTTAGCGCCTAACTTAATTGTAACGAATGCCTCAGAAGCTGCAGATCTTTAGGTGTGCGCAGTGTGTTAGTCACCCCTGTATACCACTGATGATTCCAGCACAGGCAGAACACTGCGACACTATTGTCGCATTCCAGAGTCTATGGCACAGACTGGAATGTTGCCTGTGTCAAATTACTTACCAGTAATATGCAGTATACCTTGAATGTGATAACCACACTGAGTTAGTGGAGGGGACACCACCCCCTCTTCTCCAACTGGGGGCACCGCCCCTCTTTTTCAACCGGAGTGGGTGCCGCCCTCTTTTCCAACCGGAAGGGGCGCATCCCCCTGTAGTTAGCAAACAGGGCAGTGCCTATTAACCAGAGGGGGCGCCATCTCTCTTTTCCAACGGGCACCGCTCCGTCTTTTCAAACCAGAGGGGGCCACGCCTCCTCTGGTTAGAAAATAGGGCAGCGCCTATTACCCAGAGAGGGGCATCGCCCCGTTTTCAAGCCAAAGTGGCTGTCTCCCTGTTTTTGAAGAGCCATTCCCATCTTTTTTAGGAGAAATGAGGTCTCGCCCCCTTTTTGAGGGGGCACCGCTCCCTTAATCTCCACTTCTGCAGCATCAACACTTTCAGCAATACACCTAAATGTCGCACTAATTATGGGTTCAGCGCTTAATTATTTTAATCATAACTATCATGGGGTAGTGCTAAACCCGTAGGGCTTATACAGCGCCTGTGGAGGGGAGTTCGAAGGATGGACGGCAGTCGGGCTTAATTCAGGGAATTAGAGCACAGATCCAATTCCCTAGATCAAGAAACCCTCACCAGCATCAAAGCATGAAGGGAATAATGATCAAATGTCGCATATTCATCTTACCTAAACGTTGTAGTAGTGCGTACATGCACTTATAAATGATTTAACATTAGGGAGAATATTTATACTCAGAAATGTACTTTTGACTTTAGATTAAGAGTGTGTACTCACACCAGAGTGCTCCACTGACCATAGAGGTGGTGCAAGGGAGAAAAATTCTTTCTGAAGTCTCACATCTCCCCTGTCTTTTTAGGCTAATAATTATTCATAGTTTTCCCTCCTTGACACTGGCGAGGGGCTCTTGATCTAGGAAATTGGATCTGTGCTTCAGTTCCCTGAATCCCGAATGCCTTTCAACTCCCCTTCACAGACTTGGTAAATCTTGTCTTAAGGACATACAAGAAAAACAATTGTGTGATGACTGTATTTTCTAGACTTGAAGCATTAGACAACATTGTACACATGCGGTTGACTTACTGTATGAACAAGTGTAACAAGAATACTCAAGCAGACACAGGAAATAGAAATGAAAGTGATGGCAAAAGAGGAACTTTTAGGAGTGAATGGTGAGAAGCAATGTACCTCAACGACCACAGCCACTACCACAACACTATTAGTATCAGCATCATGCACCACCACAGCATGATGTTACCATATGACAAGTGTTATAGCTTACCTTTGAAGAGTTTCGAGAGTTTCGCTACTCTCGGAGCTCGGTCATGGGCCAGGCTCGTCTGGTACTTGCCTGGTCAACCAGGCTGTTGCTGCCTCACATAGCCTGGTTACTCTGGCACCTGGTGAAGATACTTGTCCAGTTTCCTCTTGGTTTCTACAAGAGGTGACGAGTGCTGGAGATGAATAACTACGCATTTTAAATAAGGGCAGTAGTGATGTTAATACTCAGGCGCACCAGAATCTGGGAAGAATATTTCCAACACCACGTTGATCCATGCCACGAAGGATTAAGACTGTACTGGGAGCAAAATGTGGCCCCACCAAGTACCAGAAGCGTGTACACAATAAAGTGCCCAATATATATATATATATATATATATATATATATATATATATATATATATATATATATATATATATATTATATATATATATTCCTCTGTAATAATCTCAGGTTCAATTCTACATTCTCTTACTGTTATTATTTTTTGGTCTTCTACAGCCGCGGGAAACAACCTGGTTGATCAGGGAGCCACCAGAGCCTGGTTTCAGGCTGCCACTCAACAATGTCCTTCTCCTCTTTTCGTTATTCCTTCCTTTCCACTGACTTTCTTGGGTTATCCTGGGTGGCTAACCCTCCGTGGTTAAAAATCCGAACGAAATCTTTGATCTTATCCACTCCTCTCATCTTCTTACCCATCCCCTCTTCCTGTTCGTATTTGCGCTCTCGTTTCTCCTCTTTTTCCTTCAGTGCCTCCGCGGCGTCCCGTTCCCCCCATTTTCCCCTCTCGTCCATCTTCCTTTCCCTTCCTTCCATCACCCTTACCCCCAGTTCCTCATCTTCCGCGTCTTCATTCTCCCCTCGTCCCTCAGCTTCATCTTCCTCCTCCTGGGAAGACCCAACTCGTGTATCACCTTATTCCGAATTCGTTTAATAAGCCGCTTATGGCAAAAGTCATTTTCCGGCTCACTGGCAAGCAAAAAAAAAAAAAAAAACTTAGCAAACGCCAGTGATATGACAATTACTGGCTGGGATCCCGAGTACAGGAGTACAGGGGATTACTAGGTAGTACACGGGAATTTCAAGAAATATATGGGAGTACAAGGAAGAGCAATGGAACGTGCGATTATATACGAGGGAATACAGCGATGATTTACACGCGAGTACAAGAGATTCATGAGATTATAAGAAAGTACTGAGAAAAAGCACTGGATTACAAGGTAGTAAAACGGGATTACAAGCGAGTACGTACAAGAACAATGAATTATAAGGGACTAAAAAAGAGAACAGTGAATTACAATAGAGAACAATTCTGATTACATGGATTTACAAACGAGTACAATAATATCACTGTAAACAGGTGATATTACAATGTGCAAAAAAACCACTGTTGAAAATATAAGTGAAATTCCAAGCGTTTTCGTAATTTCTCACGGATCCTTGACGTGAGAAATCACGATAGCGTTTGGAATTTCACTTTTTTCAGTGGTTGTTTTGCATTCTTAGACATGTAATGTAATCAAAATTTCTCCCTTACTCTTTCCTTTTTTCTCTCCCTCCCCTTTCATATTGTCGCCCCGCTCTGAGATGGACATATCTTCATAATTCCCGAGTGATAGTAACTCCAGCTCTGCTGGAGGGAAAACCTATGAAGCTCTCATAATTGATGAGCCTTTACGATGTTCTTCACTTCCCAGCTGAAGCCTCCCATCTCAGGTTGACACATTACATTGCTCCGTGTCAGTAACACATTTTTTTGTGATGGAATATGCCAGGGAAAATATGGCTGGTTACACAGGAGCAAAAGCTGTCATAGGGAGAGAATGGTAGCAGCACACGAGCCTGGCCCAAGGCCGGGCTCAGAGTAGCAAGACTCTCGAAACTCAAAGGTATATCAAAGGATGTTTTTATTTTTACATTAGCAATTAGCCATGGCTCCACCAGCGTCTCTTTCCCCACGCTCCTCCATCTTTCACCCTTTGCTACGTCATTCCTCCGCTCCCGTTTCCTCTTTTCCCCTCCCTCTCCAACAATGGTAGTGTCACAGGCAGGCGAGGGAGTACGATAACCCCTCTCACCCCTCAGAGGGGAAAAATACCCACCATCCTCCTCACTCCCCTCCCCCTCCTATCCCAGAGTTAGAATTCGGCCGATAGATTGCCCATGCGAATTTAATCCGACCTCCCATGAATACACAAGTTAAAGAAAACTTGAAAAATAAATCAATTAGGATTTGACTCCTGGGGGAGTGGCAAGGAGATTCTCAGAGCAATTTTCTATCCCAAATGGAAGTTTTTCTGTGTTTTCAATGATGGTGATGAGCGGTGATGGTCATGGTTGATGGTGAGGGGTAGTGATAACAGTATAGTGCTAGTGGTGATCCCAGGCAGTGATGAGGCTTAAAACATTATAGCATAAAGTAGGCCTACTGGCCCTGGATGTGGAATATCCAGGTATTGAGGATAACTGTAGATAAATAATGAGTCGAGTAAAACAGGTGTTACCCTGCTCTTACTGGGACCAAATCTGACTAAATCCCATTCTACATAAGAAAGAAGGAACACTGCAACAGGCCTATGCGAGGCAGGTCCAATTCTCCCACCTAGTGAGGTCAGACACGTCGGAGCACGGCATCCGACCTAGTAGCACAAGCTAGTCAGGTCCAACCCACACCCACTCATGTATTTATCCAACCTATTTTTAAAACTACACAACGTCTTAGCTTCTATGACGGTACTCAGGAGTTTGTTCCACTCATCCACAACTTTGTTACCAAACCAGTGCTTTCCTATATCCTTCCTGAATCTGAATTTATCTAATTTAAAGCCATACAGGTACTGTAAGATCCTTAAAGGTTTAGCGCTTTCCATGAATATACTACTAATAATAGACTCCTACTTGTTCCAACAATATTTCTAATATGTTGACAGCAGGCTGAAGAGCAGTAGGCCAGCCGGGTTGTGGCATGTACGTTGGATTGCGTGCGGCCAGCAGTAACAGCCTGGCTGGTCAGGCCCTGATCCACCGGGAGGCCTGTCGAGGACAGTGCCGCGGGGGCGTTGACCCCCGGAACACCCTCCAGGTAGGTAGACCATGAGTGTTGACAATGTACGTTATGTCACTCTTGCTTCTCGCTAAACATTCTCTGCACTTCCTCCCATATGCTCTGCGGCGTTTCCAGTAGCTTAGATGTTTGACTGAGTCCTTGTCATAGGGCTGTAAATGGTACATCACTTGTACAAACTCCGACACACCTTCGGGAGCCACTGCCGGGTCACCACATGGAGAAGACCCGGGCCAGGACCCGTCCTGGCAAAACTACAAGAACCTGGACTATGAGGACAGTAAGCAACCATAGACTTTCCAGCTCTGATACCACTGCTACCTCACAAGGCCTTCTCACCACAGGACAATATTGCAGGTGTGACATCACAAGTGATTTGAAAAGCGTCAACATTGGAGTTATTTATCTTGCTTTGAAAGTCTGTTAATTCAATCTGCCTTTGTTCCTTTCTATTGTTTTTAAAATATGGAAGCGATTATTGTATGCGGACATGGTAGTGTGCGTGGAGCTACTAGTGATGGTGACTAGTGGTAATAGAGCGAAAGTTTCTGACGACTGCAACAAACTTATCTAAAAAAATTTTTAGATGGATTACGCTAAATTAAGTTGCGCTTGTTATAATAAGGTTAGGCAAGTTTTCTTAGGTTCTTTCGATACAAAATTATTACTTTTTACATTAACATAAATGAAAAAGTATATATCTTAAACGTATAAGAGAAAATTTTAGAAAGGACTTAATTTAAATGAGTTCTTGCTAACTATTCGGCGCACAGACACACACACACACACACACACACACACACACAACCATATATATATAATATACATGTGTATTATATATATATAATATATATATATATATATATATATATATATATATATATATATAAATTAAAATAAAAACTCACACTTCAAGTTAAGGTCCGAGTGTGAGCAAGTTGAAGCGACGCTCCTCAGAAAGTTGCCATTTCTCCAACACTAACACTTCTCTCTCAAAACTCGTACATATAATTTTTTTTGCCAATTTTAGGAATAAATATGCAACTTCACTCAAACTTTTGATTTTTTAGCTTCAAATTTATCTTGGTGGTGCATATTTTAACGTTATCAGGTAATTTTTAACTTCACTTAATGTTAATAACGGTTTAAATAGTGTCAAGTCATTTTTAAAGTTAAATTTAATTTAATTCTGAATATTTTTTATTTACGTCAATGTTCTGTAATTATTTCTGATTTTAATTCCTCAGTCCAGGTGATGCAGTTACAACCAGACTTGAGTCAAGTGGGAAGTGAAGTTCGTCTAATTAGTTCCTGATCAGACGAGCTGTGGTGCATACGTTGGATTAAGTGTTGCTAGTCCTAATAGCCTGATTGATCAGGCCATCAACCAGGAGGTCTAGTCTGGGAGCCGACCACTGGATTATCTGAGGTCTTACAAGCCTGAATGTAAGGTCTTACAAACCTTAATCTAAAATCTTACAACTAAATTTAAAATGATCCGTCCTAACGTTAGTTACTGCCTGGATAACTCATTAAAATTAAATCCGATCCTCATTTATACTGTAACAATCACCATCCTAACGCATCACATCTACATTATCACAATCATCATCCCAACACAGCATCACATTTCATTCACTGGTTTCAGAGAAACCACATTGGAACAAAATCTATCTACTGTTACAAGCAGGTATAAATTATTCACTGTTATTAAAGTTGAACCCCCAACACTAGACTGTTTCTCTTCTATCATTCTTTCATGGAACTGGAGCTATCCTGTTCCTTGGATCAAACCAGGTTACCTCTCGTTCTCCATATGCTATTACTCATTATTATATTATTCATTCTCACAAACTACGACTTCTGGGTACTTGCAGTTATCATGGGAATATTGCATACAGGAGCCATTAGCCATGAATCGACCCTTGCAAACACAACTAGGTAAGTACATACGTTGTACAATAGTTAACAACTTAAATTCATAAATGTATCATCACATCCAGTACCTGACCTCCATAATTATGTTGTATTATTATTATTATTATTATTATTATTATTATTATTGTAGACCATAGCTCAAAGCGACTTAGATCTCTTAAACTAAAGAGAATGGTGAAGCCTCAGTGCATATACACTGAGATACATATAATCTCATTGAGTATATTATTTACACACACATATACAGTACTTCTTGTTCTAAACGAGTACTCACCGCCTCAGAGAAGAGAGTAAACTTCCTTCAGCGAAAAATCTGGAGGTATATCTCTGGAGGTATCCCTACACATATCTACATGTATACTCACATTGGTAAACTGGTCAATAATACATGTCAACTCATGCTTCCGTGGTATACCGATCCATAACTTGTAAGGTATCCCCTCGGTATGTCTTAACATATGAGTGTTCCTTACATAAACCAAAATCCACCACTGGTACCTTTGCCTTTGATGAGTTTCGAAGGTATATCAAAAGTAAAGTTACCAGTGGTGGTGGTGTTTTATGTAAGGAATACTCATATGTTAAGACTTATACTGAGGGATACCTTACAAGTGATGGATCTGTGTATCACAAAAGCATGAGTTGTGCATTATTGATCAGTTTACCAGTGTGAGTATACATGGATATATATGTAGGGATACTTCCGGAGAGATACTTCCAGATTTTTCCCCAAAGGAAGCTTAGTCTCTTCTCTCAGGCGACGAGTACTGGTGCAGAGCTGCAGTACTGATGCAGAGCATTATAAAATGAATACCACAAAACAATGTCACGGGGCTTTTGTCAATGTATGGTTTTCCAAAAAGAATAATTCAGGTTCGATACTCCGTCTGGTAACCTCGAGAGAGACCAACCCAACTATACAAACTTTAAGTTTGCAGTACTTAGCAAAATCATCACTGAGATGTGGTATTTGAGAAATCCACTTTGTCTCGTTAAATACTTTTCCATCATTTAGTGGAGACAATAACAACTGCTGCAGCCCACCATCATTCCTATGTGTATGTTTGTGTGATACCCGTGAACGGTTTCGCGAGTTTTACTACTCCCTGGCCATGGACCAGGCTTGTCTGATGCTTACCCGACTTTCAGCCACTCAAGACTTCTGCACTTTCCCGTGAATATAATAATAATACCTGTGAAATCGCAGTGTTGCTGTTATTCTTTTCCTTTTCTCAGTAAGCGTGGTTGGACAGGGATGGGCAGGGTGGGGTAGAGTGACCCTTCCTACACCCTGCAAAACTCTTGGAGGTTTTGTGCCTAATCGTCAATCACTCCACCATAAATCACTCAAAAAGATCAGAAGAGCCTAAAAGCGTTTGACACTCGACCACCTTAATCGAAAAACTTTGGCTAATGCTTACCGGCGGCACCTTTACCCAACTCCCGCTAAGAGCCAACCGTAATGAATCCCTTTTAATGGAACGTCTTACCTTCCTAATGATATGAAAGCGATCGCCAAGTTTTGCATAAAAGACTAGACTAATGGCCTCTCGTAATACTGAAAAATAGAGCCAAACTTTTTGGGGGGACTTTTTCCTCTCCGCTGAAGATTTTGGAGAGGCCTCCAGAAGAAAAGTTTGGAGTACCGATGGAGACGAAACATTTATTTACTCTGAAGGTGGTGACTCGTTCGTGGTAGTGACGAATGTTGGTAGCTCGTGGTGGTGAACAGTTCACGAGACAATAATCAGAATCAGAATAGCGAAAAGATGCAGTGAGGGGATGTGGGGAATAGTTTTACCTTGATTTATCTTTGATGAGTTCCGAGAGTTTTTCTACTCTCGAAGCCCAGCCATGGGCCAGGCTCGTCCGGTGTTTGACTGGTCAATCAGGCTTTTGCTGCTGGTGGCCCGCTGCCCCACACAGCGGAAGAACAGATCTGGGGAGAGGAATGAACTGTCTTGAAGAGTAGAGAAAGTGGCAGTGTATGACCCAGCTTCGAGTGATCTGAGGGCATTTAAAGCCACATTTGTTTTAGTAGTGACCTGAATTGGTCTGGGTGGGCTGCGCCAGGTCTGCAGTGGCGAGTCAGAAACAAACGCACAGCCCAGCTTGTCTGGGTTAAACAAGATCGTAAGAGAAACATGGTACAACATATACGAAGAAAAACAAAACACCCAAATGACCTAGGCCGTATAACATTCATATATTTTATTCAGCCAGTCCACAGCTAGAGACCAACCCACTAATTGGTCCACTTCAAGCTCGCTACTATATCACTGCCTGCATCAATTTAAAACCCAGTACTATTATTATTATAATCAAAAAGAAGCGCTAAGCCACAAGGGCTATACAGCAAACCCAGTACTAGAACTTCCTGACTCATTACAAATGACCACTTCAGATCGCTACTGATGCGCTTTATGCTACCCTTAACAAAGACAGGAATCTTTTAAGAGTATAAAGGCAATTTACTAAAGTAAGTTCCTAGTCAGCCAGGTTGTCATGGATATGTGGGCCTGCGAGTTCTGGACTGCAATAGCATACATAGTCAGTTAATAAACATGAAAGGCCAGGCTGCGAAACTATTTGCAAGAAGCTTACAGCTTCTCGGCACATGCCATACGAATGAAGTTTTCGCGGTGAAAAATGAAAATCAAAATCCAAATTTGTATATAAACCACCAGATACAAGCAAATAAAAATCATATACTGAAAATCTAGCATAGCCTTGCAAACCTTTCAATCTCGGTCCTAACCATCCTGTTGCCTATTGATTTAAATTAAAAACACATAAATTGGAAGAACAGAGCAAATGCTTTAACAGCAGAGGTTCCACGATGCAGTCTGGATGAACAGACACATTCAGATATACACACACTCAACCTTATTTTCCAAAATAATAAGGATCTGGTACGAACGTAACTATGCCAACCACAGCAACCTCGGACCACAACCTGAGGTTCGGCTCTGCTTACACAGGATTTGAGCAGCGACAAATAATCGTGAAGATGTATTCAACAATACATTAACAGGGACTAAATAAACCTTGACCTTATTGAAATAAACTGAGAAAACAGTGACTACTTATGTGGGTTTAAACCAGCGTCTTGACAGGACCTCAATAACACTAGACGTGTACTCACCACATACCATTAACAAAAAAAAAAAAAAGAGAGAGAGAAGAGAAGATGCAAGAAAGCGATGCTTCCTCTACAGCAAGGACGAAAAATGGCAAAACTTCTTAAAAGTTCCACACTTGCTCATTAACAAAAAGAAACGCTGGTTTGAGAAATGGAAAACACTGAGCTCAAACTGAATACATCACACAGACTCCAGGAGAGACGGAGAAAAAAGCCTTCAATGAAAATGAAAGAAACAAAAATCTTTTTATCATATGCTTAATCAAAGACAAAAGCCACATCTAGTATCAGGCCTCTTGCTTAAAGGAGATGGAACTTGCTATAATAACAAGGAAATGGGCGAAATAATGAAGCCACAATAAGATCGTGTGCTCAGTGGGCCATTATCTAGATTAAAGACTGACAATCAACAGAAGTTGATCACGTATGAGATGCAAAATTCTGCCAGCATCTCCATAACTTCTGATCCTAACATCACTTAGAAGAAGTCACTGACAGTTTGTCCTTGGACTCTGTTCACATAATTGTTAATGAGTGTGGGACATACTCCACAAAGGTGGCAGTAAATTAATCGAAATCATTCCCTACAAAAACAGGAGACTCGGCAGATACTGAGAAATACTACCAATAAAACCCAGGGGTGTAATAAATGCACTAAGAAATAATTTAATAAGGTTAATGGGACCAAGACTTCTCAGCAACCTCCCTTCGTACATACGAGAAATTACAACGACTTCATGACCAGCCGGATACAGTAGATTGTGTACGGCTATCACCAACAACCTGACTGATAAGGCTGTCTACCAGACTCCCCTATTTAATGTAACTTGTGCATCGTTTTATAAAGCGTCTTGACCAGCATCTTGACAGGACCTCAATAACACTAGACGTGTACTGACCATATACCATTAACAAAAAAAGCGTACAGCGAAGATCGCGCCATGATTGGCAAGCCTCAGACACACCACAAGAGTAAGCTTCCTCATTGGCCAGTTTTAAACACGAACCTAGAAATTGCGTCCCTGATTGATCAGTTTTAAACAGCCTGGAAATCGCGCACATGATTGGTCCGTTTGAGAGTGCCACTTCTCCGCCTTGCCAAAAAATAAATGATGAATTAATGGAGCTGAGTCGGCAATTAAGGGTCATTTATTATTCAGAAGACACGAGTGAGGTGTGAGGTGAGACACCGCCCTCCAGTCACTAGAGAAGAACCAATACCATCATCACGTTATTGTCAGAGATGATGTAAATCTTGAATGAAAATACTTTAATCCTGAACTAACTTGTATCCATAAAAAAACACTGAATACTTCAGATAATTTTATGTTTAATAAATACAAATTTTCAATAGCTTTTTAATGAAGGCTTTTCTCTTTGTTTACTCCTAGGCTATGAGGCTATAAATGTTCGTTGTATTATAATATATATATAGTATATTGTGTGTGTGTGTGTGTGTGTGTGTGTGTGTGTGTGTGTGTAATCAACAATCGGAAACAGGCGATCAGCAATGGGGGAATTACGTTAAGGTCTTTCGTGCTGCAGAAGCAACACTTCTTCAGGAGCAATGCAATGAGGAAACTGAAATGCAGAAGAGCCCCAGCAGGTGTGCTTGGGAACATGGTCACGCCTGGAGTCTCTCCAGACACTCCTAATTGCATTGCAACACGAAAGACCTTGAGCAACATCATTCTACCCCCTCTCATTGGATGCCTTGCATTATATATATATATATATATATATATATATATATATATATATATATATATATATATATATATTATATATATATATAATGTCGTGCCGAATATTAAAATGGGTTTGTTAGCAAAAAT